ATATGCGAACCAGCGTTATTCGCTGGAAATTTAGCGAAAAATATATAGGAATCAGACACCAATGTAGTGAATTAATCAGTGCTCAGTTTGCGCCGGACATTCCAAAAACTGTACACACAAATACAAACATACAAACATCGAAACCACCGACTCGCCATTTTAAGGATGAAATACATTAGGAAGAAATACGTTTTTGCTCCGATAAATCAGCTGCATTAGAAAGGTATCTAATTTGTGGAACAGCAGATAACAAAAGAATGCTCTTCTGTGGTCTTTCCAGTTATTAGTAACAGCCCTCCTCATGCCCATTGTAACGGACACCATACGATAAAAAAACGTCTTAAGTATTAATCGCACGAGAATTTACAAAACTGGAGGATATTCGGTGTTTTGGTATCAAAGTTCAGCCAGAAGATAATCTGTGGAGGAGAGGAATGGGTTAATGAAACAAAATGATTAGTTTTGGCTTGAAATTCACATATTTCATCACAAAACATCAATGAAGGCCAGACAAAGCTAGAGAACTCGTGCAAAAACTAACATGTGGCAGCTGTCGACTAATACTTTCAACATTCACGCGCAACGTTTCCAATTTTTCCTCCAAAATCTTCTCAGCATCGGTCAATGGAAACATTTTTGGCATCAAGCCAGCACCAAGCTAAAAGTTTTTACTTCAAATGAATCAACATTTACAAAAGGTCAATTACTCTGATATTCCACCTTCGACAATCAGTCCTTTCACAATTTGTTCATTTGCACTGGCACATGCCAGGATTACTGTTAAAACTCGGTCCGACTCAGCTTGGCCGAGTTGGAAGGAAGTAGGGATGACTGTGCTGTACTCGCTCAGAGAGAAAGGAATGGGATACAATACTGTCATATGTGGCACTTATATATGGCACTTTCATATGTGGCACTTATATATTTTTTTAAAATTAAAACAGATTAGCTCCACAAAAATTGCTGTAATCTCTCGCGAAAGTAGTCTTTTTTTTTTGTAAAAAGTGTAAGCCGGATGAGAACCGAACTTCTGAACATGTTCCCCGAACGATCCTCTGATGTGCTAAATTAAATTACACTTACACCTCCAGCCCATTCGTTTCACAGTATCCAGTGGAGTCCTTTTACTGTATGTATATTTCCCCGTATACATATTTCCCTACACGCCCATGTTTTTGTGTACATCGTTTTATTCAGCTACTACAGTCGCAAGACATATTTTTCAGAAATTATAAATCATGCTTTAAACATATTTTCTTACAAGAAAAGTCTGAAGCAAATGTAATATTTTTCAGACCTCATCCGCGCGCTTTTTTAGATCTGCAACTTCTCGATGAATTTTGTAAATTCGGTTTTTCAATTCAACATATGCTGACAGCACCCGCAATAATCGTTCACCCAGCAACGACTTTTCTTTATCAACCGTTTCCAAATTACTGAGATCATCGGAGATTCTGGAAAAGAAAAAAATTACACAGAAAGCTGCACACTCATCCAAGAAAAAACACCATACAGCCTTAATATTGTAAAACTCGCCTACAAGATAATGTCAAGAAAATTTTGGTGGATTCTCAAAGAAATTTTGCTAATTAAATATGCATTTAATCACTTCTACATGTTTTGTGCTACAGCAGTCGTGCAAAACCAGGATCTTCAACTTAGCAACCAGGAAAACTTGCAGGCAGAAATTCCGGGAGGATGTTCATGCCGATGTGCGTTCCTAAAAAATTCAAATTCAGCTTTCACAAACAATTTGATCTCAGGTATAAAAATGTGAAAGATTTAGCCACAAATTCTCTAAATCGAGAATTCTGAAATTTTATGAGGATGTTTCCTGCCAATGTGCAGTTCATTTGACAAATGCACCTATGTTTCATATGTAGCGACTTGAAAGCCGTAGCAGGAAATGTTCTAACTTAAAAATAATAAGAGGTAGTTGAACAGCGCACTGATTGCGGTGCAAAGATGCGCTTTTTGCACAGTTCCCTGCAAGTTTTTATCGCTAACGGCACTGTTTTTTTTTTTTTCAGTAGATGCTTCTAGCTAAAAGAACTGAGATTGGCCACCAAGATCGTCAGAAAACATCCTTTTCAAATTTCAGCTTCATGGCTTTTATGATTTCCGAGTTAGCAACTTACCCGTCAAAAATTCCCACGAGCCTATATACAGTACACCCAGAGGTTGGATTTGAAGTCACTAGTTTCTACCTGGATAGAAAACATCCTCTTAAAATTTCAGCCTTCTAGTTTTTCTGGTTCTCAAGTTAACGATTTACTCGCCAAAAATTTTCACGGATCCGTAAGTGGGAACCAGGTGGGCAGGACCCTCCATTTTGAGGATAGGGGCCCGTACATGCGTGTAGATTAAGTTGCCAAAGTTTCAGTCTTGTAGCTGTTGTAGGTTTCGAGATGAAAAATCGGTAAAGACATATACAGAAGCATACTCATACACGCACACACATACACAGATAAACTCTCAACAATATGCATTTTTGCATTGCGCAGGTAAAAAAAAACGCATAAAAACTAAAATTCTGTGAGAATGCCCTTAGCTTCCATACTTGATGCACCATATAAGGAAACTCAAAAGCCCAGACGAAAAGGTGCTGACATTCTTGTAGCCCACTGAGCAGATCTGCACAAAAGGTATGACTGCATTAGTTATGTACTGCGTGCTGCTATTTATATTTTGCAGCAACAATCATTTTAAGCCGCAGAGGACTGGAAAAGTTCTTCGTCGACAGCAGATTCCGCCAACCCAGAGCAATTAGGTGTTACTCTCCCAATCGCTAGCAATTTGCTCTTGCTATAACGTTTCTAACCCACTTCACTTAAGCTAGAATACCTAAGAAAAAACCACAAATAAGGGGAATAGAAACTGAAAAACATGATTAAACGAAAATAAATCCATTGAAGAAATGCGCGAATATTTTCTCATCTGCGAGGCAACCGTCAGTTTTTCAGATCAAAATTACAGATGAGGCAGGATTTTCGATCCATCGAGATACGCACACTCTATTTCCAGATCACAGCTTGACTCCATTAATGTTTCAAAAATATCAAGACCGCCCGGAATCTAGTGTTGGGATTCTACAATGACTACGTCGAGCATGGGGAAGTTCCCCTTCCCCATGCTCTGCACAGTTATGCAACGCCCTTCAGAAAAGAAATGACCCCATCAGATGTTCACACGTACAGTTAAAAGCTCGAGGCATTAAATATTTTAATATTTTATGAAGTTGGCCTTCCACTGTAAAAGTAAAAATTTACATATGCTGCGCTTTCTCGAAGGCAGTTTTCGTGATGCGCATGTTCGTCATCAGCGTTTCCACAACTCTGTTTGCAAATGCTATAGCTTCTTCTTCCGTGACTGAACTATTTAACCTGGGAAAAAGAATACGAATTATCCTAAAACAGAAATACTCTTCTGTTATAAAACAATGTACCACAAAAATCCGAAGATTGACGGCTAACGGAATTGAATTTAAAAGTTGAATTTTTAGCTATCATGCCAAGACTGCTTAATTATAATTCCTCAAAAATTTCGATAAAATGTGTCACGAATATTTCTCCATAAATACAACCTATATTTGCAAAAAAGTACTACTTTTAACTTCACTTTGCAAAAATACTAAAAAAAAAAAGATGATTTGAAATCAATTACTGTGTATCACTTGCATACACAGTATGAGCAAAAACAGTGGAAGCTTTTTCCTCTCACGTTCGTCAAAGAAGCGCTAAAGTCACCCGTGTAGAAAGAAAGGTGTTCAAAATTTGAGCGTAAATCGAAGGACCTGATACAGCTATATTCAATGAAAGCATTAGATTAGCATCGCTGACATGGATTCACATTCTGAATGTCTGGCAATCGTAGGAATTTCAGTATGAACAAAATTTTATCAAAAAGAAAAAAAAATCATTTTACCAGAGCGGCGCAAACAAAATAGCTAAAAAACTAGCTATGGGGTGAAATACTGCGTTAAGTGGCAAATACGCAAATGTATAAATGCCGGATTTACGGAAAAATTTCATTACTTTTGGCAAATACAAAGAGAGCATCATTTTATTCCGATATTACTACACGCAAGCTATCACGCAAGCTATCCGATATTACTACATGCAAGCTATCATCAGTATGTGACCCAAAACTGCTATGTGTCCTTATAATTGGAACCTTGTTTAAGCAAGTAAAGCATCTGTCTTTTCAATTTGCCTGCCTAAAGAAATGTTGAGAATCCAAGGAAAAGAAAAGCCTGCCGATGATAACTAGTGGTCCCACCCTGTACCCAGAAACACTGAATATTAGCGTATCAATCCCGTACTGTTTGATTCCTTCCCTTTCTTATGCGTTTTGTGCTGTGTAATAGCAATACAAAACGCATATTGTTACGGGGTTGTCTATGTGTGTTTGTGTGTGTGTGTCCGCAGCAACTTGTCCGCAACTTTCAACTCGGGAACCACAAAA